ATTGAGCACTGATGTGAAAGAAGTCATTGGGCCAGTTTCATTTGTCACTGATCGGCGTAGCCAATTGCCCCGGTCATATGACCGGCGTAAAACGGCTAAGAGGCAAATGAAGTAAACCGGCGAAAACATTTTTAAAAAAATGAATAATTACGCTAAATGATAATCAATTGATTAAGTTTTATCACTTTTTACATTATGTCTTAGGAGAATAAATCGAAATTCAATTAAAAAAAAAACCATGAACTTCATGAAAAATTTTATTTTTCAGAAAATAAAAACATATTTTAAATATATGAATACAGATTTGATCAAAATATGCAAACAAAAAAAGAACGTGTCGATTATGTAAAAATTGTCTGCATTTTCACAGTTGTTTTCTCTTCCCGCCATTTTTCTAAGACCGGCGATTTCCTCGCCGGTCATTTCAGACCGGCGCATTCGGCGTACGCCGGCGAATCTTCCCCGGTCAAATGAAGTAACAAGCCGGGTTACGAAAGGTCAAGCGGCGCATTCGGCGTACGCCGGTATGACAAATGAAATCCTACCCATGTTTCTCTTTACCTGTCTGGATTAAAACATTCAGAAATAGCCAGGAGATTACAAATTCCCCGGTCTACAATAACATCTGTAGTTGACCGCTATCGCAAGCGGGGAAGTGTAGAAAACATTCCGAGGAAAGGGAAGCAGGCAAAGCTGAGTGACAGAGACAGTCGCAGCATTTTAAGGTTGGGGAAAGAAAACAGAAAGAGAAAATTATCAGACATAACAGCCTTATTCAATGAAAATAGAGACTCTGCTATATCTAAACGGACAGTTCAACGAAATTTGTACAAACAGGGGTATTTTAGAAGAGTTGTTCGGAAGCGCATAAGAATTCGCGAAGTCAACAGAAAAGCGCGGCTCTTCTGGTGTAGAGGAAACAGATACAAAACTATTGATAATTATTGGAACAGGGTAATCTTTAATGATGAGTGCAAAGTGGACGTTGGGGAAATGATAACCGTGTTTTTATATGGAGAAAGGTGGGCGAAGAGTAGATGCCATGTTGTTTCTCGCAACCTCCAACACCGAAGTTAAGTTTAATGATATGGGGCTGCATCACTTTCAACGGTGTAGGGACTGTGACTGTTGTAGATGGTAACATTAATGCTCGAAAATACATTATATTATTGAAATCAACTTTGGCCAATTATAGCACGCCATTTTCCTCGAAATAACTATATATTTCAAGACGACAACGCCCCTATTCACAGAGCCCGAGTAGTTCAAGAATATAAATTACAGAATAATATGCATTCAATGGTTTGGCCCGCTCAAAGTTCTGATTTGAACATTATTGAAAATATCTGGTTGAGACTGAAAAGAGAACTAAAAACGGCAACGAAATATTCGTGTGTAAAAATCAGCTGGAACATATATTTCTGTCTCAGTCCGTGCTATAGAATTGACTCTGGTAAGAATCCCACAAACAGCATTCCAGTTAGAATGTTGACATTTCCTTAGGTAAAGTCTAAGGCCCCAGTCTGACATGGTACTAAGAACCGTAACTCTGTATTGTTTTCATGCAGAAACAATTATTTTGTTTTAAAATTTGTTTTGTTAATTTTGACAGCTACTGCAGAATGTGATGTCAACATTATAGAGAATTATGAAAATGATCACCATCATGTACAGGTTATTTACATCAGGTTTACATTTTTCTTATAAATTATATTTGAAGAAGATAAAGAAATACGCTAGAGTCTAAAAAAATCAGTCAATATGAATATTTTTTAATCTCTTACAACAATTGCATTACATATATATTATATCTATATCTAATCATAAAGTACTGTTCTTGTTTTGTTTTGATCATATCTTATTGTATAATTCATACAAAGGGATTGGTAACAAGTTCTTACAACTTAGAAAAACCTTTCCCTACTGTTCTAAGGTTGTTGTACAAAAATAGATACTAAATGTACTGATCTTATTTTGACAGATTTCCCAGGATGTGCTGTATAACTGTCTAAATGATGAAGAAAATGAAGATTGATTGCTAATCTACAGGTTTCTGAATAACTTTGAATATTGAAGGATAATATTTATTTTAAAGAATTTTCAAAATTAGAACTGCATGTCCTTAGATATAAGAAATACATATATATTTAGGAAATAGAGAAAAATAAAATAGTTTGTTGTTAAAGTTGAAACTGAATAATGATTAATATTTGTTCAATCATGGCCTATGAGGACAGAAATAGAATGGAATCACAAAAAAGGGCACCAATGTCAAACACTCAAATTTATTTTATTAGCTCATTCACAGCTTCTCTATTTGAAGAAGTAGAAAAGTTTGAAAGAAACATGTACACTAAAAATTGAAACCTTCAAATGTTCTGTATGCCATGTTGAAAAGTATAATGAATAATTTATGTCATTTACTCATTTTTGACAGGATCCAGATCCAGATGACGTATTTTAAAGTGTAGCTTTGGAAAAGAAGAGGTTATCCCCACTATACAGGTTTATATAAGTTTTAGCTTACCTAAGCCGAAGGCTCAAGTGAGTTTTTCGATCAAAATTTGTCCAATATTTGTCGTCGCTGTGAGTGTCCTTGTCAATTTTTCTCAATTTCATCTTCTTTTCCGAAACCACTGGACAAACTACAATCTGAATCAAACATGGCACAAAGTATCCTTGGGTGAAGGGGAGTTAAGTTAAATTGTAGGGTCACACCATCTCTCAAGGGGAGATAACTACAAAATTACAAATTAGTGAAAAATTAATGGCATCTCTTAATATTTTTCTCCTGAGGAACTACTGGGACAGGAAAGATAAAACATATGTGGAATCATCCTTAGGTAGCGTAGATTCGTTCAAATCATAAGCCCTAAGGGAAGGATGGGGACAGAATGGACAAACAAAGTTTTGCATAGGAGTATATAGGGAAAAAAATCTTCTCAAGAATAGCAAATCCCTGATGAGTTATGTTTATGTAAATATCCTCTGGTAGGTTAGTTATAAATTTGTTCAAACCATAAAGATGTTTAAAATTGAAAATACATTCAAGGTAATGCCTAAGATATTCACACGTAGATAAGCAATAGATAATGCGAACTTATAGATCATACATAGAAAGTATATTCTATGAACACAGAATTTTTTTTCCCATTATAAGCTCAGCTGAGTCGAAGGCTCAAATGAGCTTTTCTGATCACATTCTGTCTGTAGTCTGTAATCTGTAAACTTTTCACGTTTTCAACTTCTTTTCAAGAACCAATGGTCCAATTTTAACCAAGCTTGGTACAAAGCATCCTTATGTGATGGTGATTTTAAATTGTTAATATAAAGGGTCAAGTCCCCTCCCAAGGGGAGATATTCAAGACAAGACAAAAATAGGTTGGGGTCATTAAAAAATCTTCTTCTCAGGCCTAAAATAAAATTAAGTTTGTTTGCAGTTGCCTAACGACCCACTGAAAATGCACCCGACCCAAACTTTTTTTTTAACCATTTTGTAATTTGATTTTTTTTTTCAATTTTTCAGAATATTGAAACAGTTTCGTTTTCAAATTTTGACTCTTTTTTTTATCATTCAGTAGTTTATAACAAAAGGTGAGCTTATTCATGTCTAGTAGGTGTATGAAAACCTCTTTTAATTGTCATTTAACAAAAATCCGATTTAAAAAAAAAAAAAATAAAAAAAGAATGCCTACCTACCGACCCAGTCAAAAAATTATAGGTCGGCAACTGCAAACAAAGAATTTTTTAAGCTTGGCCTCAAGAACCTCTGGGCCAGAAAAGCTCAAACTTATGTGGAAGCATTCTTGGGTAGTGTAGATTCTATATTATTAAAATCAAGATGGGGATGGTGCTGATGGGAGGGGGGGGGGGGGGTAGGGGGGCACAACAGATATAGGAAGAGGGGAATCCTGGTAAAGAACTGCATTACCAAAGTAATCAAGTGAGCAATGTGGCACTAGGGTCTCTTTTTTTTCATTTGAACTCAAAGTTTTGATAATTTTAGGGCTAATCATATCAATATTTTATAGAAAATTCAGGTACTAAAATATAACTCCTGGTGTACTTTATCACCAATAAAAAGGTTAAAAAGAGCATATATGTATTAATAAATACAACAAAACTAATGTTTTGAATTTATTTTGACAGATTTTCATAAGGTGATATGCAGTTGTTAAGAAGAAAGTGAAGAAATCAACTTCTTACAGGTAAGAAAAAAAATCATCTATACCCTACATTCTGTATCATAGAATATACTAGATGCACTTTTGATAATAGCTGAAATCAAACAATATCATTCCAAAAAAGCCATCATTTGATTTTTAGGTCTATAAAGTGAATCATTAGTTGACCTATTGCTATCATTTCTTGTCTTTGTTTGTTATGCCCCATGTGTAAATTTTCTTTGCAGGGGAGGGGGGAGGGGGTTCCATCCCGAGTCAAAAAAGAAATTTCTTCACAAGGAAGAAAAAAAAGAAAATAAAATAATAACTCCTTTCCCAAATCTACGACTTTCCAAGGTCACTTTTAGTTGGTTTAGTACTCTGTAAATTCTAAGTGAGTGGACCCCCACCCTGTGGATACACACAAGCTCACTGTAGATCATACCTATCTTTAAAGTGTGTGTGGTACATCATCACAAAAACCTACATTTAATACTGCACAACATTGTCACCTACATTGTGTGGATTAATATTTGAAGGAAATCAAATTTTACTGTGATTTAAGATGATATTTTGTTTCCTAAATTGTATAATACTTGAAATGGCAGACATGTTTTCATATTACAATCTACATGATCTATGATAATTTTAAAAATCTTTAGTATTTTTATTATGAATACACGGTTATTTTAATCTATCAATATTTTCATTTTAGATATACTCCTTTTGTGAATATTTGGACCCTGCTCTACACAGAGACAATGAAAGAATTCAGAACCCAGTGTTAAGGTTTTATATTTGTGTTAATTTGATTAATTGTGAACAGAGACAAGTTATTGTTCTAGATTTAATTATAAGAAGTATATTAAGATAAAGTTTTGATCTAAAACATTGAATGTTTACAGAGAGACATGTAACTGATGTAGATAATTCTGTTACAATGTTGTAATTTACAGAGAGATCTCCCTGACTGAGGAAATCCACACGGGATTCTGTTATAAAACATCAGGATAAAGAAATAAATGTCTGCTGTAAATAATGTATAGAGCAGTGTACCAGAAATCTGTCAGAGTGAGAGGTGTTAGTCAGTATATATCACATTTCCCGTGTAATAAATTGGAAGTTTTAATATCTTATACTGACAAACACTTTAAGGAGAAGAACTAGACAGTGTAATAAATAATTATTGGGAGGACACACTGTGGACTGTAAATCACAAATATAGACAGGGAATTAAACATGTAAAACTGTCCAAAGATAATAAAGAAAAACTGTCTGTATAAAGACAACACAAATTATGGTGGCCATGTGTCTATATTCCCCCTGATGGAGAATTATCGGGATGTTATTATAGAATTTTATACAGTTTACAGGCAAAAGTGCGGTAATAACTTCCAGTGAAAACACAATGTCAATACAGCACCACAACATCACAGGTCAGGGACTGTATGAATATCCTGATTTACATCACAGAGAACCGCAATGGAGATGTTATTGTGTCAAATGCTGTAGTGGTAAGATCGTGATAATTATTTCCTACACCTCCTCCACCAGGATCACGACTAATACCAATATGTGTCACAATCCTGGTGTGTTATAGGACCAAGTCAGTACAGATGTTAGATAGTGAGGGTCGCTATCTGACAGAGATAAAGACACTACAACACGGGATAAAGTACCCACGGGGCCTGAGTTATGATGAGGACACTAATCTACTGTGGGTAGGGTCAAACATAAACAACACAGTCAACCTATACAGAGTGGTAGATACAGACTCTCTGACTGGTAAGTAATAATGTAGTCTGTTTTATTGTATTGTATAATTATTATAATAACAATACTAAATAACTGCATTACAGTAGAGAGGTCATTTAAGACTAACTTTACATGTAGTGTTTATTTACAAATGGTATAGTTTGATCAGAAATGACTGCTCATTGTGTAAACAACAAATATAAGCTGTTAAAGATGAAGTTGATGACTATAAAGATGTTAACAGATAAAAAAGTAATAATAGGTGTACATCTAGTCAGTAATTAATTGTAAGATGTTGTGCAGGCCTCGACATTAACGCTTGTCCGCTTGTCCGGTACCAATGAAAAAAAATTACGGACAAGTGAATATTGCTGGGCACTTGTCCGACTGGACAAGTGATATTTTTTATGTAAAGAAGTCTTCAAATAATGATAAAAAAAACAACTATTTCTCTATTGAAAAGTTTATCGAATAAAAACGGAAGCAGTACATAAACCCAAATTTCGATCCCGATAACAATCACTGTGTAAGTTCACACTTGATCGGGATCTATGTTCACTAATTGCAGCCATACTATTGCATGGCGTGGATCTTATTTGCGGGTTTGGAATATATTTGATTGATATTCCAGATTCACTTGCGAACATTTATGTAGTTGTCAGGACAGGAAGTCTAGATAAAATTTTGTTTTATATGTGTTTGTCTTATTTATCATTAACAACACTAATAAATCAAGCACGTTTAATTTCTTAATTTAAGTAATTGTTTTCAAGTTGACAGAATAAGATATTCATTGAAAAATTTTCGGACAAGTGAAGTTGAAGTTCGGACAAGTAAATATCTTGGTCACTTGTCCGAATGGACAAGTAGGAAAAAAAGTTAATGTCGAGCCCTGTTGTGTGTAACTCTTCAATCACTGATTCCTACATGTACATTGAACTCTATATACACTGAATCTTATGTCAAACTTTTTTGTAATTTTTATCTCAGAAACATCTTATACTGTACATTCAACACACATAGGAGAAGAACTAGATCATGTGACATATATCATTGGAGTAATTTTCAACTTTTGAAATTTTGTGCTGTTTTGTTCGATATTGAAGTGTGATCTTATGATCACTTTTAGAAAGGGAATATAACAATGTCCTTTATAAATTCAGTAAACTGTCTACATTTAGATCACATGTCAAGTTGTACTGATGTTGACAGTTAGATATAGACACCATTGACATTAACACAGCTCTGTGTAGGAATGTTGTGTATTTCTGTAGCAGGTGTTCAGTAAATCTACACTGTGTACTGGGGTGACATTGACATTAACACAGCTCTGTCTAGGAATGTTGTGTATTTCTGTAGCAGGTGTTCAGTAAATCTACACTGTGTACTGGGTTGACATTTTTTGTATGAGAAAGTTCTAGATGAAATATGGAAATAATTGAACAGTATGCAAGCTTAAAGTCCATAATGAAGTTTAAGATTCATTTCAACTTTATGAACAAAATAAAAAATTTATTTTCTAGACACCAAACTGACAAAGAATAAGCCTGAATGTAACTGCTGTGTCTTGCTAATGAAAGGGAGACAATTCAATTTTGTATTTGAAGTTGTAGAAGAAAATCAAGTAACCCCCCTTTTCATTATAAGTGTGAAAAGAATTCCTGATAAAAACATAACTTAGCCTCCTGCTTTGTTTCAAAAAAGTTGGTCCATAAAACTAAATTATTTTATTATTACTAAAAATAATATTTCATTATTACTAGAAATATTTCATGATTACTGCCAGTATCAAAAGTAAGTGCAAGATATTGTCACCACAAGGAATACTGTACTGTTACAAGCACTGAAGGTCACACACAGGTATGTAGGGTGATTGGTATTGACACCCGGGGGGGGTAATATATGGCTGTACTATTTCACTTTAGCACATAATTTTACAGATACCAAAGTTACACGGGATAAACAGACCACACGGCCTGAGTTATGATGAGGACACACACTTACTGTGGGTAGGGGATTACGACAACAACACAGTCCACCTATACAGAGTGGTAGATACAGACTCTCTGACCGGTAAGTAACATTGTAGTTTGTTTTATTGTATTGTATAATTATTATACCAATATGGGTAAAGGGGAACAAAAATTATGAATTTCATGATACCTGCCCCCCCTGGGGCCTGAGGGGTGGGGCCAAAACCACTAAAATTAATGCAATCTTTAAAAATCTTCTTCTTTACTCCTGGACATTAAGCAGTCAAACTGATTGCATGATTGTAATCAGCATTGAGTCCTCTACCAAAATTGTGATAATTCATGGCCCAAGGGTCAGGGTTCTAGTGCTAGGGTGGGGCTAAATAAGTATAAAGTGAAAATGCAATATTTCTTTCAAAATTTCATCTCTGCTCCTGGGTATTAAATAAACTAACTAAGTGCATAGTTATGATGAGCAAGAGTGCCTCTACCAAAATTGTGAATTTTATGGCCCCAGGGTTAGGGGTTCTGGTGTTAGGGCGGGGCTCTATTCTTATATAGTGAAAATACATAAATTCTTTGAAAATCTTTTTTTGCTCCTCGGTATTAGATAGACTTACTAAGTACATTCATGATAAGCATGCTTCTTCCAAAATTGTGAATTTTTTGGCCCCAGGGTCAGGGGTTCTGGTGTTAGGGCATGGTACCATATATGCATTGAAAAATTACATTAAATCTTTGAAAAATTTTCTCTGTCTCTGGGTATGAAGCAGATGAATCACCTATATTGTAATGTAAACATGGTAACCTTCCAAAATTATGAATTTCAAGGCTTTAGGGTCAGGGGTACCATAGAGGGGGGGGGGGCTGTACTTATGAACTAAAATAAATAATTTTTTTGAAATCTGCTCCTGGGTATTTATAATATTTTTGAAAAGCAAGGATGCTTTTTCAAAAATTGTGCAGTGTGTGGATCTAGGCCTAAGGATCAGGGGTTCATGTGTGATAGGGGCACTATTAATATTAACACATTCTGTGTTGAAATGTTTTTCGTATTTCTGTAGCAGGTATTAAGTAAATCTACACTGATTAGTGTATTGTTATGATTATCATGGTGACATTAACACAATTGTGAATGCCATAGAATCTGGCTTAAAACATGAATCAAATTCAATAACTGTAGCAGTTGTTCAGTAAATCTACACTGACCTATAAGGCCCATGGGCCTCTTGACATTAGCTCAGCCTGAGCCGAATGTTGTGTTTTCTGTAGCAGGTGTTCGTCTTCTACACTGTGTACTGTCTGTCTGTCATTGACATTAAACAGCTCTGTCTAGGGATTTTCGTGTTTCTCAAGCCACTGGTGTTCAGTTTTGAAATCTTGGTACACTGTGTACTGGGGTGAAGGGAAATAACACAGCTTGTTAAAATGTTGTGTATTTCTGTAGCAGGTGTTCAGTAAATCTACACTGTGTACTGGGGTGACATTTTTTGTATGAGAAACTTCTAGATGAAATATGGAAATAATTGAACAGTATTCAAGCTTATGTCCATAGTGAATTTTGATTCGTTTCAACTTTATGAACAAAAAAAATTTTCTTTGACACCAAAGAATAAGCATGAATGCAACTGCATCGAATAATTTCAGTAACTTGTTCAAATCATGACCCCCGGGGGAAGGGCGGGGCCACAATGTGGAATCAAAGTTTTACATAGAAATATATAGGAAAAATCTTTAAAAATCTTCTTCTCAAGAATGACAAAGCCATAAGGCCATCCTTTAAAAAAAATGTTTGTTTGGAATTGCCGCCTGAAGGGTTTCAGACACAGGAGGGAGGGAGGGAAATAATTTTTTTAAATTGAAGATAAATTTTAATTTTTTTATAAAAATCTCAGTAAACAGTAAATACGTATACATTTTTTTTACTTTTAAAAAAAGTATCTACCATCAACAATAAAACCTAATTTTACATAGGTCTGACATGTGATAAATATAATGGGCAAAAAAATTTATTGAATAAAAAAAAATCTTCCTACTTTTGGACAATAAATTTTTTTCAGGAGGGGGCATTTCAATGAGGCGGGAGGCAATTCCAAACAAACTATAATTTTATTTTGGCCTAATTCATCATATATATATGGAACATGCTCAGGTAGTGTAGATTCAAGTTTTTTCAAATCATGATCCCCGGGGGTAGGGCGGGGCCAAAATGGCCGACCAAGGTTTTACATAGAAATATATATGAAAATTCTTTAAAAATCTTCTTCTAAATCATTTTCTAAAAAATGGCAAATCCATGATTGGTCATGGGACTACTTTTGGATTTAAACTTTACAATAAAAAGCCATTTTATACTAGT